TTGGAAGCATTTCCCTTCTGATTTCCAGGCTGAGTTTTGTAGATGGCTTATCCCTGAATATGAGAAGGTGAGGTTTAAATTATGTGGGAGGTGCAGAGTGTCTGAGGATTCTTGCTGATTTCCTGGCGTTGAGTTCTGTGTGTGTTGGGAGCTGGTTATTATCCTGTAGACTGTGAACGATCAGATCTGTCTGTTGGGATCTGAATGGTTCCTGTCTTTTCAAATCCCTCCAAAACATTCTGTCACCCTATCTCTATAACCTCCTCAAAAAGACTAAAAAGGGCAGCCTTGAATTTATTTCAAGGTTTCATGACACCATGCCTCAAAGTAGTGTTATAATGTAGGAAACGTAGCAGCTAATGTGTGCCAATGGTTACTGCACAAGCAGCAATGTGATGAGCTTTTACTGAAGTTGATCAATGGATTATTAACAGCCAAATAGAGACTGTAACTTTTCAAGAGATTTATATTCCCAGACACTAACTTAAATGCATTGCATGACACGGTTTCACACTTTCAGACATTTAGTCAATATATCCAGGAGCAACATTGACTAAACAATGACAGAAATTGCTGGAGAAACAGAGCCAACATTTCAAGTTCAGTGACTCTCCTTCAGAATCCATAAACAGAACCCCCCGCTTAACTTTTAACATGACTGAATATCTCATGCGACAATGATACTTCACGTCTTGCTAACGGTAAAATCACAGTTTTCACAGGGTGCACCAGGCCCAGGTCACCCATAGCTTCCAAAAAAATACTCTCCACTTCGTTTCCTTTGAATCATAACTGTCAAAATCCATTTGTTTGAATTTCCAGAGACATCTCAACTGTCAACACTGAGGCCTTCCCTGGCCTCGCCAGGACGAATATTCCGGAGTCTTTGGATTGTCACAGGATGTGTCTCTTCAACGAGATACTGTATTCCCTACCACATTCTGCCTGGCAGCTCACAGAAAGGAAACCCCCATTTCTAGGATACTTTGTTTATTACCTGTTACTGTTGGTGTTTAACCCATGTTATGTAATATGTTACCCTCTGTAATACACTCTGTAATTCATCAGGTTCAAACCTGGACTCTAAAGTATCCCCAAAGTTGCTCCTAACCTGCCACTTCACTGGTTTGATGATAATCCTGGAATGAGGGCTCTGCCTGGCTGTGAGATTGTGGTGGAATATAACCCTGCTGCTGCTGATGGCTCACTGCATAAAATGGGCACCCAGTTTTGGGATCTGTTCTTGGTCTACTTCCCTCAAGATGATGAACATTATGACATACTCATCATTTGGAAGGGGTGCGGTAGTTTACCTTGAACTTGTTTGACCAGAAGCCATGAGACTCCAGGGAGTCAATATTGTTGATACAAATCAGATTTCTTTTTCCTGTTTTACAGAAGGATTCCATCGTACTACACCATAGAATACAGAGAGGATAGACACCACAGATAGATCCTGACCATCACCCAAGGAACAACTGCACAACTGTGGGAAGACATCAAGTCTCTTCACAGCATTGCTGAACACAGAGAAGGTTGGGCAGTGAACCCATCATCTGGAAATCGGTCAGTCAGAGGAACTTTAACATATCATCAGATCTGAAACTGGTCAGTGGTGTGGAGCCTTCCATCAGAACCAACCTTTCTGAAGGTTCGGCTGTGGGTGATCAGCCAGAGTGAGGCTGGGACGAAGTGTGAGTGGGCTTCAAATATGGTGAGAGCTTCAGTCATTCATTGATCCTCATGAACCTCATTCCTACTGGTGTGAGGCTGTTCAAGTGTGAGGTGTGTGAGGAGGTTTTCACAAGTTTAGAGGATAAGCTGCATTTGTTAGACAAACTATTAACACAAACAGCTACATGGAAGAGAAACCATTCAAGTGTGAGGTTTGTGATAAATCTTTCATGACCTCTACGAGGCTGCTGACACACCAAATGATTCACACGGGGGACAAACCCTTCAGGTGTGAGGTTTGTGAAAAGGCTTTCACTCACTCCTCCCATCTCCTGAGGCACCAGAGAATTCATACGGGGCAGAAACCATTCACGTGCGATGTGTGTGAAAAATCATTCTCGATCTTATCGAACCTCCGTGTACACCAACGCACTCATACTGGGGAGAAGCCATTCACATGTGAGGTGTGTGACAAATCATTCTCAGACTCATCCAGTCTCCGCAGACACCAACGTGTTCACACAGGGGAGAGACCCTTCGCTTGCGAGGTGTGTGACAAATCGTTCTCATCATCGTCTCACCTCCATGGACACCAACGCACTCACACAGGGGAGAAGCCATTCACATGTGAGGTCTGTGACAAATCATTCTCAGATTCGTCGAGTCTCCGCAGACACCAACGTATCCACACAGGAGAGAAGCCATTCTTGTGTGACGTGTGTGAGACATCATTCTTGTATTCATCAAATCTCCGTGTACATCAACGTATTCACACAGGGGAGAAACCATTCCTGTGCAAGTTGTGTGACAAATCATTCTCAACATCATCACTTCTCCGCATACACCATCGTGTTCACACTGGGGAGAAGCCTTTCAAATGTGAGGTGTGTGACAAATTGTTCTCAAGGTCTTCCAACCTTTTGGTTCATCAGAGGCTCCACACAGGAGAAAAACCTTTCAAGTGTGAAGTATGTGAGAAATCATTCTCAAGGTCATCACATCTCCTGCTCCACTGGAGAATTCACACACAGGAATAGTCCTTTAAGTGGGAGATATTCAATAAAACCTTCAAAATACCTTTGATACTCCTGAAACCTCACAGGATTCACACTGGGGAAACTCTTCAGGTGCGATATTTATGAAAAGCCTTTCAAGCACTATACCCGTCTCCTAAAGCCTTCACACAATTGTTGGTGGTACTGGAACTTCAGCAAACCTACATGGGCCTACCTGGCCAAGTTCTTGTCAAATGCCATCTGGTTCTGAACACACTCTCACTGTGCAGAGATGTTCAGTGGGACTGGGACACAGAACTAAGAAGCAGCTTTCTCTCCCATCAAACAACTAGTCAGAGTCAGAGTTGTACAGCATGGAAACAGACCCTTTTGTCCAACTTTTGTCTATGCCGACCAGATATCCTAAATTAACCTCGTTCCATTCACCAGCATTTGGCCCACATCCCTCTAAAGCCTACCTATTCAAATACCCATCCAGATGCCTTTTAAATGTAGTAATTGTACCAGCCTCCACCACTTCCTCTGGCAGCTCATTCCATACATGCACCACCGTCTGCGCACAAAAAGTTGTCCCTCAGGTCCCTTTTAAATCTTTCCCCGCTTCGTGTTAAACCTATGCCCTCTAGTTTTGGACTCCACTACCCTGAGGAAAAGACTGTGGCTATTCACCATATCCATGCCTCTCATGATTTTATAAACTTTGATAAGGTCACCCCTCAGCCTCCAGGGAAAATAGCCCCAACCTATTCAGCCTCTCCCTTTAGCTCAAACCCTTCAATTCTGGCAATGTGCTTGTCAACCTTTTCTGAACCCTTTCAAGTTTAACAACATCGTTCCTGTAGCAAGGAGGCCAGAATTGAATGCAGTATTCCAGAAGTGGCTAACCAGTGTCCTGTACAGCTGCAACATGACATCCCAACTTCCATACTCAATGGGGGAAAATTAGCCCAGTTCTGTCTTAAAATTATGTCCTCTTGTTCTAGAGTTCCCTACTATAGCAAATAATTTTGTTGTATCTACCATGTTCAGCACAGCTGTACCATAATCATTTTAAAGATCCTGATTAGATCACCCTTAAATATTCTAAACGCAAATTAATAAAGGCCAAGTTTATGCAACTTCTTCTAAACTAATCCTTTATGGCTAGTATCATTCTGGTAAATCTCCACTGTTTAGTTGTCAAGAACAATACATCTTTCCTGACTTTGTGTCCTAAATAAAATGCAGTCTGAACAAATCAATGTTTAATTGTAACACAATCTCCCTTTTCAATCCACTTTGAAGTAAAACCCAACATGTCTTTTTAACATTTTTCTGCATGTGCAGCAGCTTTGACTGATGTGTGTTCATGGATAACAAAATTTCGTTGTTTCTCCACAACTTTTGGTCTCTCGTTATTATGAAAGCATTCTAATCTGTTATTCTCTGCAACTTGTCTGACAGATCAGGAAGCTTAAATGTTTTAAACAATTTAAAGATTGAATCTTATTGTTACAATTTGGGTTTTCTTCCCTCAACATGACTCATGGTGGAAAGGGTAGCCACTAACTTATTTTGAAGGTTGGGCCAATCTGTCTGAATATTATTTGGGGAGTGGAGGGTTGAAGAAAATGTGGATGATTTATCAGAAGGACTATCCAACCACATATGGGCCGACTGAGGTTCTTAGGTGGCTAATGAATGGCCATTTAACAGCCTTATTTCACACACACTGGGAATTGAAACCACAGCAAGGCTGGGTGTGCTCATGCCATGTGGAAAGCCCAGTAGTTGTGATGGCTGGTATCAGGCCAGGGGGTGACACACCTCCTTTGTACATTTATGGGTCCACTGGAGCCATACTCCAAGCCCCCAACAGTCCAACTTTTCCATTTATCCCACCACCACCTCCTCCTAGCCTTTCACATTAGACTCCCCAACACCCTTACTAGGGACTGTCAGCCTGACCCCAAACCGTACCCAGAATTACCTTTGGATTGCTCTTTTTGGGACTGTTCCAAGCCATCATTCCCCCTTCCCCAGTTTTGTATGTGAGGAGCAGGAGAGAGCCTTTAATAAGGTGGTTAGGAAGCCTAGCTATATCACACTTCCGCAGCTACACTGGCACTATCTCCCACCTCTTCCTCCGCTTCATCGATGACTTTATCGGCACCACCTCATGCTCCCACAAGGAGCTCGAACAGTTCATCAACTTTATTAACACCTTTCACCCCAACCTCAAGTTCACCTGGACCATCCCTGATACCTCTCTCTCCTTCCTGGACCTCTGTCTCCATCTCTGGTGACCACCTCGAAACTGATATCTGTTTCAAGCTCACCAACTCCCACAGCTACCTAGACTACACCTCCTCTCACCCACCTTCCTGCAAGAATGCGATCCCCTATTCCCAATTCCTTCGCCTCCACCGCATCTGCTCCCAAGATGAGGCGTTCCACTCTCGGACATCCCAGATGTCCTCATTTTTCAAGGACTGCAATTGTCCCCCCGCAGTGGTTGAAAACACCCTCAACCGCATCTCTTGCGTTTCCCACACCTCAGCCCTCACACCCCCTCCCTGCAATAAAAACAAAGACAGAATTCCCCTTGTCCTCATGTATCACCCCATTAACCTCCGGATTCAATGCATCGTTCTCCGCCACTTCTGCCACCTGCAATCTGACCCCACTACGAAGGATATATTTCCCTCCACACCCTTATCTACCTTCCAGAGGGACTGCTCTCTCCGTGACTCACTCGTCCGCTCCACACTCCCCACTAGTCCCACAACCCCTGGCACCGTTCCCTGCAACCGCAGGAGGTGCTACACCTGCCCCTACACCTCCCCCCTCACCTCCATCCCAGGTTCCAAAAAAACCTTCCACATTAGACAGATGTTCACCTGCACATCCGCTAATGTGGTCTGTTGCATCCACTGTTCCCGCTGTGGCCTCCTCTACATCGGGGAGACCAAGCGGCGGCTCGGAGACTGCTTTGTAGAGCACCTACGCTCGGTTCGCGACAAATGACAACACCTCCCAGTCACGAACCACTTCAACTCCCCCTCCCACTCCCTGGACGACATGTCCATCCTGGGCCTCCTCCAGTGTCACAATGATGCCACCCGGAAACTGGAGGAACAGCACCTCATATTCCACCTTGGAAGCCTACAACCCAATGGTCTCAATGTGGACTTTACTAGCTTCAAAATCTCCCCACCCCCGACCTCATCCCAAGACCAGCTCCCCCCCTCTCCTCCCCACCTCATTGACCTGTCTGTCTTCTCTCCCAACCATCTGCTCCACTATCTACCTGCTATCACTGCCCCCCTCCATTTATTTCAGAGCCCCCTTCCCGTCTCCCATTTCTGAAGAAGGGTCCCGGCCCAAAACGTCAGCTTTCCTGCTCCTCTGATGCTGCCTGGCCTGCTGTGTTCCTCCAGCTCCACACTGTGTTATCTCACACTTAACCTAGCCTTCTCAAAAACAATCCAGAGGCTAGACTATGGCAGGAAACTAGCCTAACAGGCAGCAGGTGCAAATTCTAGGCCAGCCCACCTCCCGAACCAGTCTACAAACTAATACACGTAACAATAAAGAAAAAAAGGTCCACAAGGAATTTAATACAGCTCTTCCAAAAAAGGTCCACAAGAAATTTAATACAACTCTCCTAGCATGTTTCTGATTCCGTTTGACAAGATGAAATTTAAATAAATGCATTTCCCTTTAAAGGAGCAATAATTGAAATGGCTACAGCTAAGAAAATTATTAAACATTTAAGTATGTGTGGTGTGTGTATGCATTCAGGTTTACCCTCAATCAAGCTTCATATTCTGATCTTCGAGAGACTAAAGAAGTTTACTTTCCCAATAAACATGTGAAAAATAATTATTCAAAGATCAATTCTTACACTAATCAGGAAGCCCTTACATGTCACAGTTAACATTACTTTTACTTCTCTGTGCATTCAGGTCAGCTCAAGAGATTTCCAATTAAGTTTTGTGATATCTTACAATATGAAGAAAATTCTGAAGATTAAATCAGATTATGAAACTCACTAATAATGTCTGCCATTAGCCTGTGTTACCATCCCAAACAGCTATTTTCCAAATGTGAGTTAAGTGAGCAAACATTAGAAGGTTCTCTGGCCTCCTTTAACTATTACAAACAGAAACTCTGGCTGAACATTCTCTGTCAGCCAGGAACCCAGGCCAGTTACATTATCCTAAATAGTAGTTCAGCTGAGGTCAGCAAACATATTGCACCCAAGAAAACCCAAATTAAGTTGTGCAGTACAGTTCCCAATTAGGATAACACTGTGGCCATCTTTGCCTATAAACTTTAGCTATTTAGATTGTGACAGTTCATCACAGAACTATTTTGGCGCAAAAGGAGACTATTTGGCTCAGCGTACCTCCACTCGCATCATTACCTAGTATCAATCTCCTACTTTTTTTCCCATACCCTTTTTATTTCTATCCAAGTAATCATCCAGCATCATCTTGAATGCCTCATTTAAATCTGCCTCCACCACACTTTCAAGTAGTGCATTCCATACCCTATTTGCTGAGTGAAAAGATTTCTCACATCTGCCTTGCTTTGTTTGCACATCACTTTAAATCTATGCTTTCATGTTCCTTTTTCTTTTAGGAGTGGGAACAGCTTCTCCCTATCTACTCTATCCAGCCCTTTTCACGATTTTGGAAACCTCTACCAAATCTGCTCTCGGCCTGCTTCCTCTTGAGGATAAGAGTCCCAAACACTTCAATCTATCCTCATTACTGAAGTTTCTCATTTCTGGAAACATTCCTGTAAATCATTTCTGTACTCTCGCCAAGACATTCACATCTTTCCTAGAATGTGACACCCACAACTGCACACGATACTCCAGCTGAGATCTAACAGCTGAACAAATGCAAATTATGAAAACTCTCACCAATGACTATAGTGAAGTAACTTACTAACACTTAAAATTATATATGATACTTGTGATGACATCACCAGTGCTGAGGGATTATGATGTCAGCAATGGAGCCACCCTGCAGTGTGATGTCAGTGACACAGGACTTGGAGTAATCCCCATGCAGTGAGGGCAACCCGTTGTGTTTGTATCCAGAGCATTAACACACACTGAACTACAATGTGCACAAATGGAGAGAGAGAGTCTGGGTATTGTCTTTAGTATTTTAACCAATACCTGTTAAGGGAGAAACTAGCTGTCAGTTTTGACCACAAGCTGATGACATATTTCTCAAAGCACTTCTATCTGTTCTAAAGTGTTTGCAAATGACGTTACTTAATTTGCTGAGCTATCACTTGGACGTGAAGTACAAGCAATGGAAGCAGATGTACATCATTGACATGCTGTTGAGATCTGCAGTCTCTCTGAAGGCAGTTGATGCTTGTGCAAAATGTGAAATATTCCACATTCCACAAGAAGCAATAGCACAATATGCTCTGGAAATCATCAGCCCAGCAGAGGCAATGAATCTGGTCTTGCTCAGATCAAACAATTTTCACAACAAGGCACAATTCTTCAAATGTTACAGGGCATTGTAACTGAATTCATCAAGGACAGTCCTGTTACTATGAGAGAGTATTGGACAAGCAAGTGATTGCCCAAGATGGCATCCTGTTCAAAGAGACATTTTACCTAAAGACATAAGAGAAGAAATATTGAAACACATCCTACACAAACCATCAAGGAATCAAGTCTAGTCTGAGGAAGGAAAGAGAAGTGTTGTATTGGCCAAACATAAGCAATGAGATGAAGAATCACATCAGCCAGTGCAGTGCTTATAATGAACATCAACCTAAACAAGATAAAGAGCTGCTCATGACTCATGACATCCCAAACAGCCCATGGATGAAGCTTGGAGTAGACCTCTTTATTCTCTAAGTTTCTAATGATACAAAGCTGGACGGAAAGGTAAGCTGTAGAGAGCACATAGAGGGGCTACTAAGATTCATGGACAGATTAAATGGGCAACACGATGGTCGATGAAGTGTAATGTGGGGAAGTGTGAGCTGTTCACTTTGACCATATGAAAGGAGAAAGAGAATATTTTTGAAAAAAATGAGAAAGCTCAAAGTGTTGATGTTCAAAGAAAATTGTATGCAGAAAGTTAGCATGCAGGCATAGCAAGCAATTAGGAAGACAAACAGCATGTTGGTCTTTATTGCAGGGGGATTGGAGAACGGGCGTACAGAGGTCCTGCTGCAATTGTATAAGATTTTGCTGAGATTACATCTGGAGGACTGTGTGCAGTGTTGGTCTGTACATTTAAGGAAGGATATATTGTAGTGGAGGCACTATAGCGAAGGTTTAACTTAGTCCCTGGAATGAGGGGGCTACCTGTGATGAGTGGCTCAGTAAATTGAGCCAATATTTACTGGGGTTTAGAATGAGAGATGATCTCATTGAAACAGACAAGGTTGTGAAGGGGCTTGAATCATGGATACTGAGATATTGTTTCCATTAGTCATGGAATGTAGAATAATAGGGGCACAGTCTCAGGATAAGGGACTAATCAGTTAGCATTGAGACAAGGAGTCATTATTTCACACAAAGGGTTAGGAATCGTCGGAAGTCTGGACCCCAGAAGATTATGGATCCTCCACATCGTGAATACAGTCAGTGTTGGAATAGACTGGTCTCTCAGGGAATCAGTGCATATGGGAAGTGGGAATGTGAAGTTAAACACCAAGATCAGTCTTAGTCATACTGAGTGTTGGAGCAAACACGACCAGTCATATGGTTTATTCCTGCTCCTGCTTCTTGTGATGTTGCTAAAGGGACCATTAGTTAAAATCCCAGATCCAGAGATCCAGTTCAGATGTGTACGACATAATCTTAGAAGAAAAGCGCACCAACTGAAGACAAGGAACATTGTCAACTCCAGCAACTAATATAATGACACAACTTTCCAACAGCTAAAAAACTGCTGAGGGCAGACGTGATAACGGGAGTGACTGACAAGAAAGACCAAAGTGACATGACAAAAAGACAGATGTCACTTTGATAACACTGCCAAATTATTGCCAGAGTTGAGAATTGGAGATCCGATCAAGGTGCAAACGTTTAATACACTCAACAGAACATTGTAATGAGAGATCTGTATAGAAAAGTTGCCACTTTAATCATACACTGAAAGTGAGCAACCAGAATTGTCGTAGCAACCACAGATCTTTATGTGTAATCAGGGAAACTACTGTTTCACCACAGGCAGCCAACGAGGCAGGTCTGATTTCATGAAGTGAGCAAAGAACTGAATGACCACCAGCCACAGACGGCATCCCTTCTAAGGACATTAGCTTGACCCGCCCAGATAAAGCCTCACTTATTGCAGCAGCTGCCTCACTTCCCCTGGTAAAGGTTTCACCGAGATTTCTTGTGTGGGAATAGCATTCTTCATCCTCGGTCTGATATGTTTCCTTGGATGTGTTTGACAGCAGATCAGAAGAGGAAGACCCACAACATCTAAGGTGGTGAAGACGTGCAGTGGTGAGAACAGCGCATGCACAGGAGGGAGGCATATGAGAGGTGGGTCTCATGGACAAGATGAGTTCAGTGAGGCCAAGAGAGGAGATAGAGAGAAACTAGAGAAAGATGTGACTTAAAGGCTAGCGCATCTTTCCTGAGCAGAGAAGTCTATGGCTAAGGAGCAGAGATTTAAAGTAATTGATGGAAGAAATAGAGGGCAGTTGAGGAGTAAGCTTTTCACCCAGAGGGTGATGAGGGTCTTAAAAGGGTAATAGAGACAGAAACAGACATGTAAAAACATTCGAATGTGAACCTGAAGAAATAACTTCTTTATATTTAAAATGGGATTGTAGCTGGTTTTTCAACAAGGACACGTTTGACTTATGAAGCAACATTTGAAGGTCAAAAAGAAAATATTGCAGCATAGAAAGGCCATTTGCAATGAATAATTTTCTGAAATTGTCCAGAAGCATTCTCCAGACATTCCCTGGGACTTTAAAACCTGACCAAGATATAAAGAGTGATTTTTGTTCAATCAACCAGTCAAGAAACAGTGAATGAAGCCATCAGACCACACAATGACTTAGTGTCTATCTAGTTTAATGATTTGTTTCAATCTCTGAACTCCTCTGACCACCCTGTTGATCTGTAAATAAACGTGACAAGATAACTGTATGAAGAGCTGTATGAAGCCACCATGTCTGAAATATACTCTGCATTCCTTGGAAATGCTGGTCCCAGAGAATTTTCTGACAAGAGTGAAACCAACCTGATCTAACAACCAGGAATTTCCCCATAAAACCAGCTTCCTGTGTTAATGGATTATTGTGATGAAAGTTCATCACGTGTCATGATTGATTGGAAATTTGCATTTTAAAATGGACCGACCCAGGTTTAAGTTCAACTTTGATTTCTATTTCTATAATGCATGTTAAGAAGTGGTAGCATTGTTTCAGTTTATTTTTGAATTCTGAGTATTGCCAGCTTATCTGGAAATTTGTTTTGCTGCTTTTACCTGAGACTTTTAAATCTTCGTGGTCAATATTATCAATGCCGTAAAAGAAGGGTAGAAGAGACAAGCAAAATTGGGCTGTTCCTTTGCAACAACATATCTGATGACACAGGGAGAAAGAGACAAAAACATTTTTTTAGAAAGGTAGAGCCTTCCACAAGAGTGTGCAGAATTTTTCGGAGAGAAATGGAGGCCATCGGGTTGAAAAAGCCTGTAAAAGCTGCAGTGCAGTTTAGCAGTGTCCAAAACAGTAGAAAACAAGAAGTGCAGAGTGGTTTAATGTCAGTAAGAGAAAACCTCCAGAAACAGGGGAGTGTGGAAGATGAGTTTAAGGAGGCTATGTTCAGAAATATATGAGCAGTTTGTTTAAGAGTCTCAGGAAGAGATGTGAATTAAAGAAGGTAGCAGGGAGTGAATGCAGAAATATGTTGAAAAGAAACCAATTACTGGCTGTGCCAAATGAACAAGGAACTTTAAAGTGGAAAAAGTGTGTCCCCTCTGTCGAGGGTTAAAGGGTTGAATCTTTATTTCTGATATTTATAACAAGACTTTTCCGAATATTTCTTCTATAGTCTAAAATAGTTTGGTTCTTTTTCTTTTGTGTTAACAAACTTTAATAATCTTTACTTAAAAGTACAATGGTAGCCTCTTGTAAATAATTTTTGAGATTGACAACCATGTTGTACAAATTACAAAGAAATAAATTGTCTTCCCAGCCTCACCCCGATCATTCACAACCAAAAAGGGCTGGCTCTTATGGACGGCTCCACACTACTGACCAGTTACAGATCCGATGATATTTCAAAGCTCCCCTGACCCAACCATTCTGCGCAAATTAGGAGCTGGTTATAATCCCATGGACTGTAATTTATATTGTTCCTCTGTGGGATGTTGCTGTGTCAGTGGGGTAGGGTACTGAAGGATTATTACCCTCATTGTGGGCTGTATAAAGAAAGAGGAATCAGCCATTTAACATCTCCAACCAGTTCCACCATTCAGTGAAATCATGGTGTATCTGTTATCTGGAAACACAGGAAGATAGAAAATGGGATTGGGGTAAGCCATTTGGTCCTTCGAGCCTATTCTGCCATTTAATAGCATCACAGCTAATCATTCAACACAGTATCCTTTCCCAGTTTTTGCCCTAGATCATTTGCTCCCTTTAGCCCTAAGAAATGAAAGGTTCTGCATGGTAGACTAGTTAGTAAGGTTAGATCACATGGAATCCAGGGGGAGTTAGCCAACTGGATACAAAATTGGCTTCAAGGTAGGAGACAGATGGTGGTGGTAGTGGATTGTTTTTCTGACAGGAGGCCTGTGACCAGCAGCGTGCCACAAGGATCAGTTCTGGGTCCATTGCGTTTTGTCATTGATATAAATGATTTGGATAAATACAGGTATGGTTAGTAAGTTTGCAGATGACACCAAAATTGGCAGTGTAGTTATCTCAGAGTACAACGGGGCCTTGATCTGATGGATCAATGAGCCAAGGAATGGCAGATGGAGTTTAATTCAGATAAATGTGAGGTGTTGCATTTTAGTAAGGCAAACCAGGGCAGGACTTGTACAGTTAATGGTAGGGCCCTGGGAAATGTTGCCAAACAAAAAGACATAGGGATCCAGTTCCTTAAGGGTGGTGTCGCAGACAGACAGGACGGTAAAGAAGGCATTTGGCACGCTTGCCTTCATTGGTCAGTGCATTTAGATTAGGAGTTAGGACATCATGTTGTGGCTGTACAGGAATTGGTTTGGCCACTTTTGGAATACTGTGTGCAGTTCTGGCCACCCTGCTATAGGAAGAATGTTGTGAAACTTGAAAGGGTTCAGAAAAGATTTACAAGGATGTTGCCAGTGTTGAAGGATTTGAGCTATAGGGAGAGGCTGAACAGGCTGGGGCTATTTTTCCCTGGAGCATCGGAGGCTGAGGGGTGACATCATAGAGGTTTATAAAATCATGAGGGGTATGGATAGGGTGAATAACCAAAATCTTTTTCCCAGGGTAGGGGAGACCAAAATTAGAGAGAATAGGTTTAAGGTGAGCAGGGAAAGATTTAAAAGGGACCGGAGGGGCAACATTTTCATGCAGAGGGTATGAAATGCGTGTACGAAATGAGCTGCCAGAGGAAGTGGTGGAGGCATGTACAATTTCAACATTTTAAAGGCCTCTGGATGGGTCATGAAAAGGGTTTAGAGGGATATGGACCAAATTCTGGCAAATGGGACTAGATCAGTTTAGGATATCTGGTCGGCATGGATGAATTGGACCAAAGGGCTTGTTTTCATGCTGTATAAATCTAAGACTCTATAATTACATCTAACTTCTTGAAAACAGTCAATGTTTTTGCCTCAAGCCCTTTCTGTTCAAGAGAATTCTGTAGGCTCACCACTTTGTAGGGGAAGACTTTTTTCCTCATTTTGGTCCGAAATGGCTGACCCCATAGCCTTAAACAGTGACCTCTGGTTCTGGACTGCCCAGTCATTGGGAGCATCCTTCCAGCTTTTACCCTGTTTGAATTTTAAAGGTTTCTATGACATCCCCCCTTCATTCTTGCAAACTCTGGTGAATGTAATCCTAACTGATCAGTCACTCTTCATACATCAGCCCTGCTACTCCAGAAATCAGTCTGGTGAACAGTCTCTGCACTCCCTCCACAGCCAGAACATCCTTCCTTAAATAAGCAGACCAAAACTGCATACAATACTCTAGATGCAATCTTACCAAGACCCTGTACAATTGCAACAAGGCATTCCTGTTCCTGTACTGAAATCCTCTCACTACAAAGGCCAACATATCATTTGCCTTCTTCACTGCCTGCTTCACCTGCATGCTTACTTTCAGCGACTATGTGTATGAGGACCCTCGGGCCTCTTGCATTTCCTCCTTTCCAATCTATTGCCATTTAGATAATAATCTGCCTTCCCATTTTTTTTCTGTCAATGTGGATAACCTCAAATTTATCAATATTATACTTCATCTGCTATGCATTTGCCCGCTTACTTAATTTGTCCAAGTTTTTTTTCATTCACTCATGGGACATGGGCATTGCTAGCTGGCCAGCATTTATTGTCCATCCCTAGCTTCCTTTGAGAAGGTGGTAGTGAGCTGTCTTCTTGAACTGCTATAGTCCATGTGCTGTAGGTTGTCCCTCGGTGCTATTAGGGAAGAATTCCAGGATTTTATTCCAGTGACAGTGAAGCAATGGCAATATATTTCCAAGTTCAGATGATGAGTGGTTGGAGGGGAACTTGTAGGTGTTAGTGTTCCCAGGTATCCTCTGCCCTTGTCCTTCTAGGTGGAAATGGTCATCAGTTTGGAAAGTACTGTCTAAGGATCTTTGGTGAATTTCTACAGTGCATCTTGTAGATAGTACTACTGCTGCTAAGTGTCAGGGATGGAGGGAGAAAATGCTTGAGGATGTGGTGCCAATCAAGTGGGTTGCTTTGTTCTGGATGGTTCACGGGCTTCTTGAGTGTTGTTGGAGCTGCACTCAAATAGACAAGTGGGGAGTATTCCATCACACTCTTGATTTGTGCTTCACACATGGTGGAAGGCTTTGGGGAATCAGGAGCTGAGTTATTTGCCACAGTATTCCTAACCTCTGACACAGCTCCCAAACTGACAGCCATTCCCTCTGGCAACCCTACAACTGACACCACCCCTCCCTGATACAACCAACACAGCCCTCCAACCAACAACCCCCGACCAGCATGTCCCATAAACCACAGCGTTCTACTCATGACATGACATCCCTCACCCTCAACCCAAGTCCTCTCTGACATCCCGGTGTCTCACTCACCCAGCACTCTACCCTCACACTGAACCAGTAACCCGACCTCTCATCCACCTGGCATCCCAACCTCTCAGCCACCCAGCACCTAACATCTCACCCCTCCAAGTGCCCTACTCCCTCACCTGCACCTCTCAACCACCTGCCACCCTATCACCCACATCACCCACCTGTACCCATCCCCAACCCTACCCACCCCTCACCCACCAGCCACACAGTCGTTAACAACTGTCAAAAGTGGCTGCAGCATGTTTGAACAACAGATACAGTAGATTTCCTGCTGTAAAAGAGGGTGTGGGAACCCCTCTGATCCATTGCGCTGCTGGCTCTGTATTCCTGGACTCATGCCCCCCGATTCACCATAGATGGCTCTCGTCCAGTAAATCAGGTTTTCATCACTGGTTGGAAAACCTGGGCCGATATTAACAATAGATTTAGCACCGATTGTAGTTTGTGGAAGTGAGTTCCAATCTTCTCCCATCCTTTGTGTGGGAAAGTGTTTCCTTATTTCAGTCCTGAAATGTTTGACTTTAATTTTTAGACAATGCCGTCATCGCAAATTGCCTAACCAGTAAAAACAAGTTTACGTCCATTCATCTGATCTCTACACCTTAATATCTCAAAACATTGATTGGATTACCCCTTAACCTTCTAAACTTTAGGAAATATAACCCTAGTTTGTTTAATCTCTTCTCATAATGTAACCCTTGAAGTCCAGGGATCATTCTGGTAAATTTACACTGCCCTCCCTCGAAGGCCAATATCCCCTCCCTGTGCTGAGGTTCCCAGAACAGCTCTCAGTATTCCAGGCATAATCACACCAGGGCTTTGTATCACTGAAACATGATTTTTACTCCCTTGTATTTGGTTGTTTCAAACCTCCAGCATCCGCAGTTGTTTTTTTATTCTACCCCCTTGTATTCTTTTTCTCTTTATATGTCTGTTTATGATGTTGGTCTGATCTCTGCACCCATCTATCAATGCGTCTTTTGTAATGTCATGTTTCTATATATATTGCTTACATGCCGTTGATTTTGTGTCAACCCCAAACTTTGAGACACAGGCCCATATTTTCAGATGTGAAGATCATCTTTCCAGCAATTTGGACTAAAATTCTGCACCAGGACCCTGTAGAAAGTCAAACACATGAACGTGTGTAGAAGATGCCCAGTCGGATTTTTAAACTGCTAGTTAATATCTGATCTCTTAGTTGACAGCCATGCAAATCTTGACAGCAGTGCAGACTTTGACTGGAATCCTGGATGATACCAGTTTAATTTGAGGGATTTCCTTTGTCTTTTTCTTCAATAATTTAAGTTTAGAAAGGAAAGGCAGCAGCCCAAATGGAGAACTTGTGAAACTGGGTTTTGATGTTTAATTGGTTTCCATTTGTGTAACTCTGCAGAATGTGCAAAAAAGATGGAGATGTCATTTAGTTTACAAAATTTTTCACGTAATTCAGTTGATTATTGCATTTAAAAAGGGCTTCTTGGTGCAGCAGGATGTATTTACATTTTGAGTCTTATGAGTGAAATGTTTTTCAAAACTAAAAGTAATACATGTGAAAAGGAGTTCTTCAATTTAATAAATACATTAGGAGCAGTGAATTATGTCATTTTGCTTTAAGAATGTTTTGTAAAAGTGCAATGTGTTATAAACCACATGAGCAAACTGCCTGTAAGCTGATGTGAGCTATCACTTTAACAGGTTTTCCAGAATCCATTGTGGAATCAAACCCTGTACAGGAGATATGTTCACCTCCTGGCACATCAGAAATTGTGCTTAGCACACTGTAAAAGTGCTCTTTCTGCTGAGGGCACAGAGCAGGCACAAGGACAAGCAGAGAAACGTCAGACAACATGCACACCTGCTAGAGCGTACAGGCAGAGGACAACCTACAAAATGTTGTCGGAAGAGATGTATGTCAGGACACTACACTTCAGCAAGGAAGCAATCGCATGCCTCTGTAAAATGAAGACAACCTCAAAATGCACACTGGCTTATCAGAGCTGATGAAAGTCATGACAGGACTGAATTTCTTTGCCTCTGAGTAACTTCAGCCTGGCACAGGTGACGGTGTAACATTCCCCACAGCACTGCGAGGGCCTGCATTCTCCAGGTCACTGAGGCCATTTTCCATACAGCCTCTGAATTTATTCACTTTGATATGTCCTCTGTAAGGATGGAGAGGTCCCTCACATTCTCCAAGATCGCTGGCTTCGCAGATGTGATTGGGGCTGTCGATGGAACATATATTCCACTGAAGGCATCAAAAGAGGAGCCTGTTTCCTTCAACAACAGGAAGGGCTTCCATTCACTGAATGTGATGATTGTATGTGATGCCCAAATGAAGATCCTGAATGTAAATGCAGATAACTGGAGAAGTGCACATGATTCCTTTGTCCTGGCGACCTCAAGGGAATTACAGGCTGGTTACTGAAGGATGAAGGATACCTGCTGAGGACCAGCAACCAAGGACATGAATGATACAATCGTGCACATATAGCAAAATATCAGGTGGTGGACAGGGCAGTCTGGCTCCTCAAGTCATTTTTCCATTGCCTGGACAGGTCAGGAAGCACTTTACGGTTCTCACTGGTGAGAATTTCTAAGATTGCAGTTGTGTGTTGTGCGTTGCACAAATTTGCCATCCAAGAAGGACACGACCTTCTTCTGGAGGATGTTTTTGAGCCAGAAATGGAAGAGCTAGAAGAGTGCAATGATGCAGACGGGCCGCCCAGAGAATGTGAGGAGGCTCCAGCAGCTTGAGATCACCTGGTCACTACTACCTTCAGACACTGTGAATTGGACAGTCCCTGTCTTTCCTTCCCTCCCTCTCAAAATAAGACAAACAAGATTGGTATTTGCAAGTCCAGCCTTACCACTGGAAAGACCTTTGAGATACTTACTGCTGAAGAAAGTAAAACTCAGCTGTTCAAATAAAAGGTTATCCAAACAAATTGTATTCTCAAATAATTAACATCTTAGACCTCTTTTCATGAGCCTCATCTGAATAAAATATTTCAGAAATATTTAGAAAGATGACTGTGTTATGATTTCAGCTGATTCTAAACCAGTGAGTCAGTTTCCAGAATGAAGCCTGGCTTGTTAGATCAGAAGTTTCGTTTTGCTTTACCATGGTTACCATGGTTCTTCACTGAACACACAGGAGAGGATCAATTAGCTCAGTTGGCTGGAAGACAGGTTTATGATGCAGAGTGATTCCAATAGCACGGGTGAATCCCGTATTGGCTGAGGTTATTATGCAATCCCACCTTCTTAACCTCACCTCTTGCCTAAGGCACGGTGACTCTCAGGTTAAACCACCGAGTCATCTCTCTCTCTGTCTCTCCTTCCGTCTCTGATCACAGAGTAGCCCTATCATCCTCTGGGACTACGGCAACTTTACCTTTAATGAAAAAAAGGTTTATTACACAAAGGAAGAAAAACAACAAATCAGCTATCGGACAATTTAATAAAGATCTTAACGTAAACAAAACAAAGTTTCAACCCGTTTGCCAACAAAATCCTATGCAGATACTCAATACCTGATAAGTACTACTTCTTTCTCAACATTTTCTTTTGCTAAACTAACTCTTTTTATTGTCTGATTCTGAACTATTGAAATAGTTTACAACTTCTTTCTAAGTGTGTTGGCATTTTGTTTTCAATTCTTATGTCTTAAACCGCTGTTTTATTTCTGATAACTTAACAACTTCTATCCACAACCTGAAGATTCTATAGAACCTAACCAACTGTTCGGGTGACTGATTCCTCCAGAGAGGGATTTTTCTGCTGCCAATTTGGAGTCATCGATTTCTAAAGCACAGAAAAAGGCCTTTAGCCCATTGAGTCTGTGCCAGACCAAAACAATCACCTATTTTAATTCCATTTTCCAGCACATATCCCATAGCCTTACAGTGGGTGAATTCCCGACTGCCACCACCCTCTAAGTGAAAACATTTTTCCTCGTGCCTCCTCTAACCTTCCTGCTCCTTACCTTAAATCTATTGATCACTTCACCAAGGGGTGTATGCCTGTGTTAATTTTTTACATCTCAAACACGCCCCTTCTGAATCCCTTTCTGCACTCTGGAACACAACCCGAGTCTGTCCAATTTCTCTTCGTAACTGAAATTCTCCAACTGAGGCAACATCCTTGTAAATCTCCTCTGCACCCTCTCCAATGCTGTGATATCCCTCCAAAACTGCACTAGCTATGGCCTAACCAATGTTTTATACAACTCCAGCATAATCTCCTTGCTCTTAAACTCTATGCCTCAACTAATAAGGGCAGGCATGCCATATGCCATTTTAGCCATTTTATCCACCTGTCCTGATACCTTATTGGAATGGTGTATGTGCACACCAAGGTCCCTCTGATCCTTGGTGCTTACCAGGGTCCATCATGTACTCCCTTGCCATGTTTGCCCTGCCCAAGTATATCACTTGATTTTTTTCTGGATTGAATTACATTTGCTACTCATCAGCCCATCTGACCGGGCCATCTATATCTTTTTGTAGCCTAAGGCCGTCCTCCCCACTACTCACCACCTCATCAATTTTTGTATCAACAGCAAACTCTGATCGACATTACTGATGTTACTTACTGACCTACATTCAAGTCTAAACCAGTTGTATAAATCACAAACAATTAAGGGCCCCAACACTGACCACTGTGGGACACCACTCTACACAGACATCCAGTCAGAAGAACACCCCTCTGCTTCCTTCCATTCAGCCTAATGGATCAAATATGAATATAATTTGCCAAATTTCCTTGGATTCCATGGGCTCCTATCTTATCCGTCAGTCTCCCATGTGGGAACTTATTAAAAACCTTGCTGAAATGCAAGTAGCTGGCATCAAAAGCATTACCCTCATCTGCACCCCTGGTCAGCTTTTCAAAAAATTTAATCAAGGTGGTCAGACATGCCTTTCCCTTAACATAACCGTGTTCTTGAATAATCCCTGTCTCACCAAATGCAGATTAATTCTGTCCTCCAGAATTGCTTCCAATAGCTTCCCCACCATCGTGGTTAGACTGACTGACCTGTAGCGTCCTGTAGCTCCTTGCTGGTTTGTTGCTTCAACTAAAATACCAAGTGAAAACCAACTTTAGTTCAGAGGCTATGTTGTTAGGCAACCTTCTGCACAGAGTCCCCTAAATCTGTCTGTCCAGCAATTACAAAGAATGAAACCCATCACTTATCTCTGGTAAAAACATTGTCTTGAGTTCTTTCCACAAAGTCAGTTGTATTTTTGTGAACAGCAAGTGAATCATAATATGCGCCTGACTTGATCCTTGTCCACAGTGAAGAGGATGGGAGTGTTCAGGTGGGGAGTCATAGAGTGTACAGCACAGAAATGAGTCCTTCGGCCCAATTCGTACGTGTCGATCAAGTTTCCTAAACTGAACCAGTCTCATCTGTCCGCATTTGGACCAAATTCCTCTAAACATTTCCTATCTGTGCACTTGTCCAAATATCTTTTAAATGTTGTAATTATACCCGCCATTACCACTTCCTCTGGCAGCTCATTCCATATACACTTGACCCTCTATGTGAAAAAGTTGCTCCTCAGGTCCCTTTTAAATTTTTTCCTTCTCACCTTAAACCAATGCCCTCTAGTTTTAGACTTCCCTACCCTGGGGAAAAGACTTTGGCTATTCACCTTATCTATGCCCCTTATGATTTATAAACCTCTGTAAGGTCACTGCTGTGCCTCCTACGCTCCAGGGAAAAACATCTCAGTCTATCCATCCTCTCTTTATAACTCAAACCCTCTAGTCTTGGTAATATCCCTGTTAATTTTTCCAGCACCCGTTCCAGCTTAATAACATCCAACCTATAACAGGGCAACCAGAACTGTACACAGTACTCCAAATATGGCCTTGTACATCGTAAAATGATGTCCCAACTCCTGTACTCAGTGCTCTGACCAACAAAAACAAGTGTGCCAAATGTCTTCTTCACCACTTTGTCTACCTGCGACAGCACTTTCAAGGAACTATGTGCCTGCATCCCTAGGTGTTTCTGTTTGTCAACACTCCCTAACTGTGTAAGTTTTGTCCTGGTTTGTCTTACCAAAATAGAACACTTCATATTTATCTGTATTAAACTCCATTTGCCATTCCTCAGCCCAAATCCCATTGAACAAAATCTCATTGTACTCTTAGATAACTGTCTTCAGTGTCCATTATACCACCAATTTTGGTGACATCTGCAAACTTACTAACCATACCTCCCATATTCTCATCCATATTGTTTATATAAAATGATGAACAACAGTGCCAATCCTTGTGGTGCACTACTGGTCACAGGCTTCCAGTCTGAACAATAAACCCTTTACTCTTTTAAACAAAAAGATTCAAAAAGAAAGTCAAACCCCACCAGCACCAGCATCCCCCCCCCCAAAACCACCAGCACCAGACATTCCTGGGACAGGACAGGGTAAAGCTTGCTCTGCTCTCTTAAAACGCAAAAGTAAAATATCATGAAATCCCTACAGTGTGGAAACAGGCCATTCGGCCCAACAAGTTTCCCCAACTCTCAAACTGAAATAAAGTTTCAGTGACTCTCTGAAAAAATAATACACAAACAAAAATATGCCTTTCCTTGACTCTGTCCCCATCAACCACCCTTGGGGTAGGGATAATAAGGGGTTGAAATGTGGAATAAACATTCCTCGACTCAGTCAAGTGCAAAGGAAACTGAAAATCAAACTTCCCTCAGCTCCAGCCCCACCAAATGCTCCCGGGACAGGGACATCAATGGTTTAAAGGTCAGAGGGAAAGGTCCCTCTACTATTGCAAGTGGAAATAAAGTTACCCTTACCCCCACCCCATCAAGCACGTCTGGGGAGAAGGAACAGCACAGGGTGAAAACAAAAGCCTCCCTAGGTTCTTTGAAGGGGTCCAAAGCTGATACAAAGAGATAATAAAACATCCCACTTCCAAACTCACGAACACTACAGAAACAAAAAAAAATCACAGTATCGTTATCCAGGCTGATAATGCACTCCAGCCCCCATGGCACATATCAGTCATGATAGGCCTCCACTGTATCGTTTAGCACCGCGTGCTCCTGTTCCAGGGACACCAGACTAACCACGAAAGAGGGGCTCAGTCAGAAACAAGACTCTCCTCGGCCCAATGTCCAGACCTGTCCAAGAAGGTCCATAGACTTGTCCATCCCTCACCGTACCAGGTGCTCTCAGAGCTCTCTTGTGGCACAGTTGTAGTATCCCTACCCCTGGATGGGGAGGCCCACCAGCTCTAGTGGTGTGTAATAACAGCTCGAAACAGAAAATATCATAAAGCAGAGTCAGTCCTGGGCTGGGGCTATGTTATGTTTGGCAAGAATAATGATTTCATTTAGTTCTTTGAGAAGGTGACCAGAGAGGTAGATGAGAGTAAAGCGGTTGATGTGGTGTATATGGATTTCAGTAAAACGTTTGATAAGGTTCCCCATGGCAGGCTATTGCAGAAAATACGGAGGCATGGGATTGAGGGTGATTTAGCGGTTTGGATCAGAAATTGGCTAGCTGTAAGAAGACAGAGGGTGGTGGTTGATGGGAAATGTTCATCCTGGAGTTCAGTTACTAGTGGTGTACCTCAAGGATCTGTTTTGGGGCCACTGCTGTTTGTCATTTTTATAAATGACCTGGATGAGGGCGTAGAAGGATGGGTTAGTAAATTTGC